TCACACAGTGTCTAACCAGTTCCTCTGGATGGCCAACAACAGGGCATAGAGCCTGTCATGATCCTAGGCCTATAATACTGCGGTCTACAGGCTCTAGGGAGGCCTAGTGGCTCCAAGGAAGCCTGTATTGGAGTAGCTATCAGGGTCTACATTTCCCAGATCCCTTCTGGACCCTGTGAATGGTTAACAGGGGATTTGGAGGGAAAGCTTACACCAGCAGAGGAGTAGAGGGTGGTGCGTAGGAAGAAAGAATAAAAGGCCTTGCCCAAAGTGGGAGAGTGGTCACTCGCAGGGAGCAGGGGTGATGAGGCTGCTGCAGAAGGAGGGATCCCTCAGTCAAAAGGGGTGAGTGAGTCAGTCTGAGACCATGTATCTAGAGGAGGCTAGGACAGTATAGTCAGATTCATTTGGATTTATTATTTTGCTGGTTTACCCACCTTTACTTTCAGTTTTCCTACATGTTATTGAATCATAGTTGCTGTTAAATGTTTTTAATAAAAATAGTGTGTTACTCTGCCTGTGTCCTCGTGTCTCATTTGGTCACGTATAAAGGGAAGCCTACGTTCTGTGCGCCTTGGTGTTTAGTCATGCCGGCCACATGACCACGGAAACGTCTTCGGACAGCGCTGGCTCTTTGGCTTTGAAACGGAGATGAGCACCGCAACCCTAGAGTCGGATTCGACTGGCTTTCGAGCAAGGGAACCTTTACCTTTACCTTACTGGAAAAGAAGTGTATAAAGGGTGGGGTGGGTGCTCTGGACCCTCCCAAGGAGACTCATACTAGAGTGGTGGCAGGCATTAGAGAACCTTTCTAGCTGCTGCCCTATATGTCTTGGGACCACCATATCAGAAAAACTATATACTCCCTTATGAACCTATATACTCCCTCATGACTAGGGGGCGGGGGGGAGGGGTGGCTCTATTCATTCAGGAGGCTTACGCCATCCCTGCTGGAAGCCGTATCAGGCTGGGCGCTGGAGCACCCTAGGCTGATCGTCTTGGGTGACTTCAACGTCCATGCTGAGGACGCGACCTCCAGCTGGGCTGTGGATCTAGTGTCGTCCATGGCGGTACTGGGACTCTCTCAGTTCGTCTCGGCTCCCACGCATCGAGCGAGTCACATGCTCGATTTGATCTTTGCAGCAGGAGTGATGGTGGATCGGATCACTGCCCTGAGGGCCCATCTGAATGTTCCACCCCGACCCTGTTTAGGTGGTGAGCTGATTTTGGCTTGCCCATGGAGTCAAATGGACCCAATGCGGTTCCAGATGGCTCTGTGGGATCCGAGGCTCCCTGGTGGTTCGTTAGATGAGCTGGTGGAGGATTGGAACTGCTGACTCTCCTCAGCCATTGACGAGATCACTCCCAGCCGCCCTCTCCGCACTCGTGATAGGCGAGCACCCTGGTATACCCAGAAGTTGTGGCTGCTGAAGCGAGAACTGAGATGGCTAGAGAGACGGTGGTGCCGTGCTCGCGACGAAGTGTCAAGAACATCCTATAGGATGTTTATGAGATCCTATGAGATGGCAGTCAAGGCTGCAAAGAGAGATTTCTATGTGACCTCGATTGCATCTGCTAGCTCACGCTCGGCCCGATTATTTAGTGTAATTCGGTCCTTGACAGCTCTGCTTCAGGGCAGGCAAAATGTCAGGGAATTGGACTTAGGCTGTGAGGCATTTGCGAGCTATTTCGCAGATAAAGTCTTGGCTCTCTGCCATGACCTCCCTGCCACAATTGAAACAGTTAGGGAACTTGAGGCCCCTTGCACGTCTTTGGTGCCAGGTTTAGTGTGTTTTGACCCACTCAGCCTGGAGGAAGCTGACAGGTTGCTCGTATCGGTGCACCCAACCACATGCGACCTTGATCCGTGCCCCTCCTGGCTTATTAAAGCAGGCCACGAGGGGTTTTGAGGTGCACTGTGGGAAATTGTCAATAAGTCCCTCATTGAGGGACGGTTCCCCGGAGCACTCAAGGAAGCGATGGTCTGTCCTCTCTTGAAAAAAAATCTTTGGACCCGGCCGAATTGGCCAACTATCAGCCGGTTTCCAAGTTGCCCTATTTGGGCAAACTTATCGAGAGGGTGGTGGTGTCACAGCTACAGGGCTATCTGGATGAGGCTTCCGTCCTCTATCCCTTCCAGTCCGGCTTTCACCCGGGCCACGGGACGGAGACGTTGCTGGTCACTCTGACTAACGATCTCCGTAGGCATCTGGATCGATGTGGCATGGCAGCACTGGTGTTGGTTGATATGGTTGACCACCCGTTGCTGGCCCGCCGCCTCACCGACGTGGGGATTCAGGGGCTTGCTCTTCAATGGTCTGCCTCTTTTCTCCAAGGTCGGGGACAGAGGGTGGCGATTGGGGACCAGCGGTCCCAAGGACACCCCCTTGAGTGTGGGGTGCCCCAGGGAGCTGTGTTGTCCCTGAGGTTGTTTAACATCTATATGCGCCCCCTCGCCCAGATTGCCTGAAGGTGTGGGCTTGGGTGTCATCAATATGCTGATGATACCCAGCTCTATCTGATGTTGGGTGGCCAGTCAGACTCCAGTCCCGATGACCTCTATCGGGCGTTACAAGCTGTGGCTGGTTGGCTCATACTGAGTCGGTTGAAATTAAACCCGGCAAAGATGGAGGTCCTGGGCCTGAGTCAGACCAGTCCAGGGCTGGGGCTCCCTCTACCGGCCTTCAACGGGGTGCCTTTGGGGCCTGCGTGGGAGGTTAGGAGTTTGGGCATGCTCTTGGACTCCTTGTTAACGATGGAGGCCAGGTGGCAGCCACTGCCAAGTCGGCCTTTTACCACCTGCGGCTGGCTCAGCAGTTTGTCCCCTACCTTGACCGTGAGGACCTGGCCTCTGTGATCCATGTGACGGTCACCTCGAGGTTAGACTACTGTAACACTCTCTACTTGGGGCTGCCTTTTTCACAAACTAAGGGAATCCCTCTCCCCGTATGTTCCCTCAAGAGCACTATGATCGGGGAGTCTCCACCTCCTGGAAGTTCCAGGCCCCCAAGACGTTAAGTTCACCCCTACTAGGGCCAGGGCATTTTTGGTGGCAGCTCCTACCTGGTGGAATGAGCTCCCGGGGGAGATCCGGACCCTGTGGGACCTTGTGCAGTTTCGCAGGGCCTGCAAGACGGAGCTCTTCTGCCAGGATTTTGAGTAGGAGCCGCCGCCGCCACTATTCCACCACCATGGTACTGTTCCACCATTTACCCCTACTATGGGGGGTATGCGTAGCCTGGCGGAAGCGGGTAGAACATCATCACTGGAGTCCTTGCTACTTAATAAAGCTTGCCGTCGAATTGGGATTACTGCCCATCTTGTGGATTTATATATAGGATAACATCAGAGCACCTTAAATATTGTCTAGGGGATTTATTGTGGATGTTTAACACTGTTTTATTGTATTTTACCTATTTAACCTGGCACTATCCGTATGTTAGCCGCCCTGAGCCGTTTGGAAGGGCAGGATATAAATCCATAAATAAATAAATAAATAAAATAAACCTACCTGACCACTACAGTCATCTTCTGATGCTCTGGGTCAAGGCTTCTGAGGTTAAGTTGGTGGCAACACAGAAGAGGGCCCTCTTGGTTATGACACCAAAATTTTGTAACTCTCTCCCTAGAGAGACTCACCTGTCCCCCTTCTGTTGATGTGTTCTACCAGCAAAGACTTTTGTTCCCTCAGTTGCTGTTCCTTCCTGTTTTTATGTTGTTTTTTTATTTGTTGTTTTTATATTTTATATGTGTATTTAAACTTGGTTTTAATTGTTTTACTGACATGTTTTTATTTGGTTTTAATGATTTTAAACATGTTTTTATTATATATGTTTTAATCTCTTTGCGATCCTGGTAGCTCTGGTAAGGTCAGAATGGCGGGTTATAGATTATGTAAAATAAAATAGAGAAAATATACATAGGCAATAGTTTCAGGAAAAGTGTGCAAGGGCAAACATGCTTGAAAACCTGTGGGGGGAGTCACTTGGGGGATTTAGAGCTGGGAAATGGCAGGCAGGGAAAGGGTTTATGTCCCCCCAACACTACTTCATTCCCAGTTGTTTCCCCAGAAATAGTATGATGTGCACTTTGTGTCTGGTGAAATATCTTACAGATTCTGTCATCCTTTGCATGTTATTCCCAAAGCACTTGTGTTAGGCTCTTCTATTTCTTCCCGATTTTCTTTCTGACTTAAGTTCAAATGATTAGTTACACACTGAAGCGCTTAAGTTTATTTGCAATCAGGTTTTTTTATTACAAGAAATAGCGATATAAATGGAAGGACTAGTTTTGAACTCATAATGCTAATTCATTTTGTAGTTTTCATAAATGTATGTGGAACTAATGATTCCCGAATAACCCCTACCTGGTAAAAATATCCAGAAGTGAGAAGCTGTGAGCCATGAAATGATCTTTATTGTACAGTTCATCTTTGCAAAAGGGTGATTTTTTTAAAAAAAAGGATAATGAAAAAAATGCAAGTTGTTCATATGTTGGTGCTCTTTTACATGCTAATAAAGACCTTTCACTAGTGCGGAATAGCACCTAACAAAAATCTTCTTCATAGAAGACAAAGACATATGAGAGCTAGATACTGGAGACTTCGTACTGGATCTCCTGTCTCTTTCTAGGTATTTAAATTATAGATCCAGGCCTTCCAAAATTGAAGGAGGACTACAGTATTGGGGGAGAGTGTGTAATGATCCTACACACATCAATTGCTAAGTATACATACACTTTGTACATAGTGTGTAGAATACTCACATGTGATGATTGATATGCATATCACATGTAAATTTCTATAAGCAAGTATTTTCCATGTAGAAATTCTGAAATATATTATGTTGTATCAGCTTTCATTCCCTTTTAATACTTCACTTCCAAGGCAAATGTTCTTCTTGAAGAAACAAAAGGTTTTCCTTTTATTTCCTTCTGACAGTTGACACATTCCTTTGCCTATATCTTGCTTAGAAATATATCTTGCTATTTTTCTTTTTTAGCACCACCAAAATTTGCAAGAACACCCGTTGACCAGACAGGGGTCTCAGGAGGAGTTGCATCATTCATCTGTCAAGCTTCGGGAGACCCAAGACCAAAAATTGTCTGGAATAAAAAGGGCAAGAAAGTCAGCAATCAGAGATTTGAGGTATTAGGTCCATTGTTCTGTTCCTCTGAAAAACATTTACTTTAATATTACTTGATTATTCCCCATTGCTTCTAACAGTGATCATTTAAAAATAACAGTACTTGTACTTAAAACCGTCTATCAAACCAGGCCAATAAGCAAAAACACATTTAGTTGGATTTATCACAAAAGGAATTTCATTGCTGTTTGTAAGACTCTCCACACAACCACTGACCAGAAGTAGGACTGAGGTGTATTATGAATTGTTTAATTTCCCTATTCTGTATTCTCCCCCCTACATTCTGCTAACCTTGAATGATGATGTGAGTAACAACATATGTGGTAGGAGTCAGAAAGATGTATAAAGAGCTGCCATCTATGGTGAATGCTGTATGAAAGCCAGCTAAGAACTAGAGCTGCAGTTTTGAAGATGGAATGAAATGGGTGATATCAGGAGTGCTGAGGAGTAGCCTTGCTTAGAAGAGAGGGTGGGTGAGTTTCTCACAAGGAAGCAACAGTATAGGTTTTTGTTCTGTCCTGTCAAAGAGTGACAAAATGGGTCAGTGTCCTAGAATCACAATATCGCTAATATTGTGGAACAATGTGGGGCTGATCCAGACCCTTTGCTGCAGTCTTGCCTCTGCCTTCTGTGCATTCTGTTTTGCGTACAAAAAATCCTTTACTATTGACCTTGTACCCTCATTCACAGAACTGCAGACATGGGAGGACTGTGCATGCTTAACAGTGCCATAAGGCATAAATGGAAAAAGTGTTCTGTATGTTTATATGATTAGTACCTGTATTTAGGAGATCCATATTTTTTATCTTCTGTCTGATGGAGAAAAATGAATAAATGGACAATACTGCCAATAGGATATCAGGAAATAGTGGAAAACAAGCAGGGAATCCACAAGGGCTTGCAGAGATCACTTCATTTCCTCCTGTATCCCCTTCCCCACACTGTTCCCTCTTGCTGTCCTACTGGCAACCCCTGTGTCTTCTCCCTTTTCCCCACTTCCTTCTCTCCTTCCCACTCTTTATTATTTATGTACTTCTTTTATACACTGCCTTTCTCACTAATGGGGAGTCAAAGCAGCTTACATCATTCTCCTCCTCCTGTACTCCTCACAATATTCCTGTGAGGTAGGTTAGGTAGAGAATGTGTGTGACTTGCAAGGTCACCCAGCAAACTTCCATGACAAAGTGGGGATTGGAAACTGGCACTCTGACCGCCACACCACACTGGCTATCAGCTTTCCCTCCTCCTCTCCCCCATCAGCCTCTCCCTGAGAAAAGTCTGGCCAAGTTGCAAAAGGCATGAGGTAGCAAGTTGCTTGGGTGAGTTGTGTGGTGGCTATTGCCAGGCCTGGCCAAGTCATGCAAGTTATGCGGAGGATGCCACTGAGCCCAGTCATCTGGGTGAATAGTGCAAATGGCCCAGTCATCTGGGTGACTTGTACAAACTGGAGGGTGGCAAGTTGCCTGTTGATTGCACCTGGGTCCTGGTCTCCATGAGTCAGGGCAGTAGGGGAGGAGCAGGGATAGACTGGGAAGCCAAAATAGCCTTGGAAATGGCCCTTCCCCCTATCATTTATTGACAGAAACCCAGATTTGAAATCTGGTGATACTGTTGCAGTTGCCTAGCAACTCCCACTGTGGTCATTGAGATCTTCTTTCTTAAATGTACAGACTCTGTTTTTTTATGGGGGGATGTTAACCAACCCAATGTATCTTTCATCAGATTTTTCTGCAAACCTGTGTCCCCCCATCCCTCCCAGAGTTTTGTCTGTTCATGGCTCCGATCTCCGGGTTCAAATATCCACAGATGAAGCCATAAGGAGAATTGGCTGTATTGATAAGATGAAGCATTGTGATGAAGTGATGGTACCACTTTACTCTGCTCTGGTTAGACCTCTCCTAGAGTATTGTGTTCAGTTTTGGGCACCACAATTTAAGAAAGACATAGACAAGCTGAAACATGTCCAGAGGAGGGCAACAAAGATGGTAAGGCATCTGGAGACCAAGTCCTATGAGGAAAGGTTGAAGGAGCTGGGTATGTTTGGCCTGAGGAGGAGACGACTGAGAGGTGATATTAACCATCTTCAAGTACTTGAAGGGCTGTCATATAGAGTATGGTATGGAGTTGTTTTCTGTTGCCCCAGAAGGTCGGACCATAACCAACGGGTTGAAATAAAATCAGAAGATTTTCAGCTAAACATTAGGAAGAACTTCCTGACAGAGCAGATCCTCTGTGAGACAGTGGAACAGGCTTTCTCGGAAGGTGGTAGGCTCTTCTTCTTTGGAGGTGTTCAAACAGACGTTAGATGGCCATCTGACAGCAATGCTGATTGTGTGAACTTAGGCAGATCATGAGAGGGAGGGCAGGAAGGGTTGCCTCAGTGCTTAGTTCTTGTGGCCCTTTCTTACATGCCCAGGGAAATGCTGATTGCCACTCTGGGGTCAGGAAGCAATTGTTCCCCAGGTCAGTTTGGCTGGGATTCCTGGAGGTTCCTTCCAACTCTATGATTCTATGAAATGCCCTTCCCAATGGCACCTTTATGAATGTTGGGTGGCAATAATATTGAATTGGAATACCCCGTTTGTGGGGAGGGCGGGGTATAAATACAATTAATTAATTAATTAAATAAATATCTAATGGCAGGCATTGTGAAAGATCTCTCTGAGACCCTGAAAACCTAGTGCCAGTCAGAATAGATAAGGAGTTGCCTAAATTTGTATAATACAACTTCATATGTTGACATACTTCTTTCTTTCCCTTCTTGTGTGACTTGAAAAGACACAAACCCAGTAAAAGCTCTTGTTTCAAATCTTTTTTATATTTCTGAGTGTATTTTGTGTTACTGTCACCCCTCTCCCCACCTGCACATATATGGACTGCATAAAGCTATAAATCATGGATTGGAATTTTAGTGCTTCATTTTAAAACAAATAAATTTGAAATTAAAATACACCGGTATCCCAAAAACCGATTGATTTGTTAAAACCAATACAAAAAAGAGAAGCATTCTGGTTTAATTTGAGTTCATGGATATTTACTATATTCTTCTTAAATTTTTGACTAGGCACTTGTGTAAGCTCATTGAATTGCAAGTTTTACAATTTAATCTGCTGTTGTGTCAAGCCCTGCCTCCACATCTGAGGTCCCTCCACCAGTCGCCATTGCTGCCTATTTGGGGGACTGCCCAGGAAGGCCATTCACCTCCCCATGAGAGGATATCAGGGGGCTACTGGGGGTTTCAGAAATGGCAGGTGAGGGAAGGTTACATCACCTCTCCTCCTGTCTATCCGCTGGTGCCCCCTTTCCCTTCTCTCTGGGTCTCTGGCAGACAGCGAGCCTATTCCTCCCTGACCATCCAGTCTGGCTTCCCTTTTATTCCTTTCTTCATTCCACTCTCTGCCCCCTTGTCCCTGTCTCTTCCCCCCTAGCCCAGCCCTGCCCCCATTGATAAGCTCTGATGCCTGTCTGAGCTTCATGGGTGGGGCTGCCACTTCCCTGATGCTCGGACAGAGTCAGGTCTGGCCACTGGCCTGGCCTGGGGGGGGGGGGGGCTGCCTGCCTGCTCCTTCCCCCAAAGACTGGGCCATCCTGGGCTTGTTGCAATGGCCTGTCCCACCTGCTTCAGGGCTTGGCACGGGCCTTGCCAGATTCCCTACTCCCCAGCAGCTGAGGAAGGGGTAAGTGGGGGCCTAAGGGCTTGGGGGGAGGTGAGCCATCTTTGGCTCTGGTGTGGGTTGCTGCAGGGGTCGTGAATACTGGCATGGGAGTGTCAGGACAGTTTGTAAACATTTTTAGAGCTAATGCCACGTTTTATAGATCCCTGTGCAAGACAGCTGTAGAGGGCCACCCTCTTTCTATCTATCCCATCTTTCCCCCAAGAAGCTGAGGGCAGCATGTATGGATTTCCTTTTCCTATTTTATCCTTTCAACAACTCTGTAAAATACGTTAGGATGAGAGATTGTTACTTGCCCAAGGATACCCCATGGAGATTTCAAACCAGATCTCCCAGATTCTAGCCCAACACTATACCACATTCTCTCTCATAAACTAGTTCTTCTTTCACATAACCTCCTGGTGCAGTGTGATTTTGGTTTTGAGAAGCATAGGGTAGTGGTCAGTAAGCCATGGTAGGGGAGCTGTGATCATGGGAGAAGCACATGCTTATTGGAGCCCTGCATAGAACTGGCTTGGGCTGTTTCATCACAGTTTTGTCTATGATGTAATTGTTTTTTTGTTACCCAAATGTTGCATACATTTTTGAATTTAAAGCTTTTGACTTGCTAAAATGTTACTTGCTTAATCCTATATTACTTCAGTAAGGAAATAGTCATAATTTCATCACTATTGTTGGCAATGTATTGTGTGGATATTCTAGGATAGCCTCTTTTCCTATCATCACCATTGTTTTGAATGTGAAAGTGGTATTCCTTGTTTGGTAGGTGCAAGAGGACGAGGGGGTGGGGAGGTAATTGGGGCATTTTCATGTTTGGGCTTGGCAGAGTTGGGACACCCATTCAGGTGTTCTGTCAGGCCTTTGGTTGAGGCAGAGGATGCTCAATTATATCAGCCTCCCCTGCTTGAACTTGCCTATGCTGGGCATTATGACATTCCTATGTTCCTGATGGTGATTCAGCCCACCTGTTCAAATGATTGCCCCCTGGCACTTGCAGTGTACAGTTCGGGCATATGAAATTATCTGGGTTGCCATCATGTTTTAAATGTTTTAGTATTTAAATTGGTATTAGATTTTAAATGGGCCTTACAATGTTTTTGTATTTATTGTTTTTATTGTTGTAACCCACCCTGTGCCCACTTATGGGGGAGGGCAGGATAGAAATTGCATGAAAGAAATAAATAAGAAGAAAATTGGCCCCCTTCCTATCATGCCCCGATCTAGCCACAGTAATCCATGTGATGGTCACCTCCAGGCAAGATTACTGTAACTCGCTTTATGCTGGCCTGCGTTGTGTCAAGCCCTGCCTCCGCAACTGAGGTCCCTCCACCAGTCACCATTGCTGCCTGTTTAGTAGGGTCTGTCGCTTTATGCTGGCCTGCCCTTGAAACTGACCCAGTAGCTTCAACAGATCTAGAATGTATCAGCATGAGTTCTGGTGGGAACATCATGGACAGCACATATCCATCTGGTGCTGTGCCAGCTACACTGGCTCCCAGTTGAATGCAGAGTCAAGTTCAAGGTTTTGATATTGACCTAAGTCCTTGAGCTGTCAGTGTCCAACATATCTATGGGATCTTCTCCGTTATGTCCCTGGAAGAGCATTATGCTCTTCAGATAACAACTTGCTGGTGGTCCCTGGTGCTAAGGATATCTGGCTGTCCTTCACCAGGGCCAAGGCTTTTTTGGTCCTGGCCCCAACCTGGTTGAACTCTCTGCCAAATACAATAAGGTTCCCATGAGACCTTATGCAATTTTGCAGGGCCTGTAAGGCAGAGATGTTCCACCAGGCTTTTGGTTGAGGACAGCAATGGTTCCCTCTTGGCTGGCACCCTTTCTCATCCCCCCCACTGTTTACCCTTTTTGGCCCTCTTTCCCCCCTGTCTGCGAAGTAGCTGGTAGTCTGAAATTGGATTAATATTCACCATCTTTTTTTGAATATGTGTTCTTAATGTTTTAATGATTTTATCAGATTCTGTTTTATGGATACGGTATATCGCCCAGAGTCCTGGAATAGCAGGGATTGGGTGATCAATCAATCAATCAAAAAATAAAGATAATTAGGTGCTCCTCAGTGTCTCTTTTAACAAACACTGTTTTATGTTTATTCTTTGACATAGCAAACTTAGATTTACTTCAAAACTAGGAAACACTGATCTTGCACTTATATCCAAATTAACTATTTGGTACACCCAACTATCCACATGGATCACTGTAGCCAAGTCACAGGAGGAGAGATAGGAACCCAGTTGCCTGACCAGCTGAAAATGGTAAAAAGCTGACCTGGCAACGGACATGATCTGTACTCCCATAGAAAGTGAGGCATCCAGAGTCACTCCTAGGTTCTTCACCATCGGAGTCAACATTAGAATCACCCCGTCAAGGGTTGGGAGCCAAATTCCCAATCCTAGTTAAGACCTCCATCTTAAATGGGATTGAATTTCAGACAACTCTGCTGCAACCAACCAGCCATAGTCTCCAAAGCCCTGGCCAGAATATGTGGGATGGAGTACGTCCATCGTCCATCAACAGATACAGCTGGGTGTCGTTAGCTTACTGATGATAGCCCAGCCCAAACCCCCGGATTAACTGGGCAAGGGGGCCAATGTAGATGTTAAATAACATTGAGTGACATGGAGAAACCCTCTCCCCAAGAGCCACCCTCTGTCACCGACTGTGGAGGAAGGTTACCAGCCATTGCAAGACTGTCCCTCATATCCCCGTGTTGGCGAAGAAGTGGGTTGTAAGATCATAATTGACTGTGTTAAATGCTGCTGTTAAGTCAAGCAACAACAACAGCGCTGACCCACCTCGATCCAGGTGCTTCCAGAGGTCATCTGTGAGGGCAACCAGTGCTGTCTCCATCCTATAGCCAGGGCGGATGCCAGACTAGAATGGATCCAGGATGGAGGAATTATCCCGGAAAACCTGAAGCTGTTCAGCTACCACTCTCTCAATTACCTTACCCAGCAGTGGAAAAATTGACACTAGGTGGTAGTTTGCTAGGACCAAAGGGTCCAGAGATGGCTTTTCCCGCAGCAGTCCCACCACTGCCTCCTTTAAAGTCCCTGGGAAAATCCCTGAAGTCAAGGATAAATTGATAATCTCTCCAGGCAGGCTTTTTTTCTGGGGAAATGCACTGGAATGGAGTTTTGGAACCTCTTTGAAAAAATAATTTTTAAAATGTTTAAAGGTTCATAACTTTTCAGTATACAGATTGAAAACTTTATTTCCCTCTTGAGAGTTCTGGCACCTCCCCCCCCCCAAGCCCTGCTCCCAGGGGAATCTTAAATTTCTATAGAACCAAATAGTCCTTAACCTGTAGTTTTAGTTTTCCTTCCTGAACATGATTAGGGGGGGAATCTATTTGCCACATTCTTGGTAAAGGCAACAGTAGTAATAAAACAAAGTGATTTAAAAGTAGAGAAGAATTCTATGTCATGCCAACAGGTACTGGATCCGAGTGAATCCTCTGTCATGAACTTACTGTATGGCTCTTTAATTTATTTATATTTATTTATGTATTTATTATATTTATACCCCGCCCATCCCGCAAGCAGGCTCAGGGTGGCTAACACAGCGGTACGGTGTACCTAATTGACATACATAAAACTTAAAAACTCTATAAAATCTCATAAACAAATACTTTAAGACATAACTTAACAGTTTCCACTAAAGTGCATACAGTACAACACATTAGATGGCGCGCTTCCAAATCTCCTTCTGCCTTATTACACCGCTCATCATCCCTCGCACCGGAAGGCCTAGCGATATAGAGGACCAGATCTAGGATCCCAGTCTTCACTAGGATCATTGGTGGTAACAGTGGTGGCGGCTCCTATTGGAAAGCCTGGTGGAAGAGCTCCGTCTTGCAGGCCCTGCGGAACTGTAAAAGGTCCCGCAGGGCCCTGATCTCCTCCGGGAGCTCATTCCACCAGTAGGGAGCCGCCACAGAAAAAGCTCTGGTGCTGGTGAGCCTTGCATCCTTGCATTCCATTTAAAACACGGAACCAACAACAAAAATTGAACCTCCTCCAAATTAGCACCCTCTATGCTGAAATACAAACTCATATGGGTTTTATCGCTGAATAGTCTGGTTTTTAAAGGTCTTTCTATTACAGTTTTTGTTTTTCTAGGTTGCAACAAAAGGTGTTCTTTCCTATAGTATCCCAGATTGTTCATTGGATGTGCCATAGATTGTTGTTCAGTCCAAAGAGAATTGATAGGGATGGGAAGAATAATAAAGTTTTAGTTGGAAAAGCTACCCTAATAAACAATTCACAGTAATTCTTGGTTTTGGAATTGAAACTGCCATGATTGTCCTGATCAACAGTCTTCTTTGGGAGACAGACAACTCATTCTGAGTTAGGGATTGCCACTGCTGCTGCAGTCGTTGTTGTCGTTGTCGTCATTGTCTTCTTCTTCTTCTATATGAAATTATTGGAGAGTTCGCTATTTTGGAGTGAAATGTCATCAGTATGCTGATGTCATTCAGCTCTGTTTCTTGTTTCAACAGAATCAATAAGGCAATGAATCTGTGTTTAGAAGCAGTAATGAATTGTTTGAGTGCCAATGAACTGAAGTTCAGTCCAGGCAAAACTAAGATGATGCTGGTTGATAACAGTGCCAATTAAGGATTCAGCTAGATGGGATTGCACTCTCTTGAGACAGCAAGTTCACAGCTTGGGGTGCTATTCCTTCTGTGCTCACAGATAGAAGCTCAAATCTCCACTGCAGCTTTTAATTATATGTTTTAAATGCTGTTGATGCTTGATGAATTGATGCTTTTTATGAATTATTTTATTCATTTGATTTAATCCTGGACTTTATTTGTCTCAAAAGCTATTAGATAGAAAGGAGGGACATACGCTTGCCAGCCTCCAGGTGAGATTTAGGGCATTATACTCTGCTCAGGTCCCATCCCTCGCCAAACCCACACTCTCTAGTCTTCTCCCTCAAATCTCCAGGAATTTTCCAACTAAGAGTTGGCAATTCTAGGCATAAGGTTTTACATTAATTAATTTGACAAGGTAATTTAACAGTTAGATTGGTCCACTATTTAAAGACTAACAAAGCCAGATTGATTTCAAAAACTCTCCATCAGTTTGACTACTGAAACGTATTTAAATACAGTTATATTTACTTTTAGAACTACTCTCATCAGCTACTCTTCAGTTCATCTCATACATATAAAGTGTGACACATTAGAAGAATTTAGAGATGTATCCGGGATTAGCTGAGAGGTAGGCCTTTGTTACAACACCTGTGACAGCTGTTGTTTCCTTCAACAGGTAATAGAATTTGATGATGGATCTGGATCAGTTCTCAGAATACAACCGCTACGTACTCCACGAGATGAAGCTATTTATGAATGTGTTGCTTCCAACAGTGTTGGAGAAATAAGTGTGTCTACAAGACTCACTGTGTTGCGTGGTAAGTCTCTGACATTTTTTTTAAAAAAATTGTTCTTAAAGTTGGCAAAAGTACAAAAGAAGTACTTCTAAGGTCAGACTTTTTGAGACTCATACTATTAACACTGCCTTTGTGTAGCAAAAAAATCTAATGTGTTGAGCTTGGTTTTTCAACATAAAATGTTGAAATGTTGTTGACATAATCAGCTGTACCATGTGTGGATGTTTTTGGGATACAATTTGAGAAATCTTTTCTTGTATGTGGAGTTTATCCTGGCCATAGCTGCTGGTTCTGCTATATGTCATGTAATAGATACATTAGGTACTAATCTTTATTGTGTATATCTAGGCCTGTGACTAAATAACTGTAGTTGCTGTCTTTACACAACTGTTGCAAATCTTTAGTTGGATAGAAAGCCACAATCATATAAAATAGATCAGTTTCTCCTTAAATACAAGAAAAGGTTGTTGAAGTTCAAAGGCAGAATAATAGAAGCCAAAAAACAATATTATACCTAAATACACTCAGTGGTTTTGTTGATGTAGTAGATTTGCAAGTTAGCACTCTTATTGCTATTTTATACTGTGTGATAGACATCTACATCAAAGGTAACTTGAGCAAGTTGACATTGACCTTGCCAAAATATAGAACTAGTATTTATTTGCATAGTAAGCTGCAGTTAAACTTTAGTAAACTCACAGTATCTTCTGTTCAGCAGTAGGAATGCTTGTCATATGTTTCTGGTTCACTGTATTTCTTCCTCTTTTTTCATATTTTTTGAGCAAGAGTATCTGCTAAGGCTGATTTTAAAGTTAAATCCAGTGCTCTAAGCATATATGAGGTCTGCATCCCTCACAGGTGTCAGTTCTGTGATCCCACCAGTGAGAATTTACTTCAAATAAGCTCCAGAAATCAGATGCCCTTTTGTATCTGGTTTCCAACCTTTTGCAGATAAGGAGATTTATTTCTCAGTTGCTGGTGTGTCCTTCTAACATCTGACATTGTTTTTCTACACCAAAGAATATACTTTGCTGTTTCCAAATAAATTTATGTACATGTCTATTCCTTTATCCATGGTACAGAGTTTAAAAGTTGGCTTCATTGTTCTGTGGTTTCCCTCGCCCCCTCTTCATTTAGACACAAGTTTACCAATATGGAAATTTATCCTGTATTTCAGTTCTCTGGTGGAATTAAAAGATGTTGCTTACCATACAAGTGCTTTTCCTCTCCATAAGATCCAGTGAATGTGGGGTGAAAAAATTCTGATACTCTATTTTTCAGCAGAAAAATCTCCACCCCACATATGTAAATATAATCTTTTTATCTATAATTGTCAGGTCTGTTGTGCTGAAAATCATTTGTGTTAGATAGCCTAATGTGGAATATGAAGTGTGGACACACCCTAGTGTTCGTACATGGCATATTTGGCTTCTTTCACTAACATTATTTAAATTTTGGTATTATTATTTGAATTTGAATTGGACTTTTGTGGAAAATTTTCTGATTCAAATTTTTCCAGAAAACTCACATCCCTTATAAGATTTCATTATACTTTACATTTTGTATATATCTGTGTATTTAAGTCAGTTCCTTACTTTGGTAGTGTTGAGCTTCCTGCTTGTAATGGATATGCTAAAGCAGCAAAGGATTATGTGCAAAGGAATTATGTATATCTAATATCATATATTCTCCAAGCCCGGTACAGCATGAGTACTGAGGAAAAAGAGTCCAAGCTGAAGTGACTGCAAGGAGATTGCACACTTGAGAGTTATGTATATCTAGGCCAGCAGTCTTCAGTCTTTCTAGAGTTGGGATTCACTTTTACAGCCTGTAGACAGCAACATGGGAGCCACTAATCTGCAAACATGTAACATCACAGTCATGTAATAAGAAGAGAGGGTTATGTTCTCTTACCAGAATTATGATCTAAGCAGGGTCAAGGTCAAGACAAAGAATAGTAGCTTAGAAAGAAAGTTGGGGAGTACAGGGCAAGCACCAAGAAGTATACAGTTGAGAGGTCTGAGACATTATTTATGACAGGATTCCTACAAAGCCTCTCTCGGCTCTTTCTTTCCTCCCCTTCTGATTTTTCACATATATATCTCAAATTATTTCCTTTCCATAACATTTCAAGAAGAAAGCTGTGATGCACAGAAGCTTGTGCTGGAGTAAACATTGTTAGTCTTTGAGGTGCCATGACACCTGTTTAATTCTGAGCCAATAGAGTCATGGAAGAATCCTCTGCAGCATAGAATGGTCTCTCCTTAATGTTATGCTACTCCTCTCAGTTTGCATTAGGGTTGCCAGACCCACCAGTGGAGGTGGGAGTCCCCCATGGCCCCACTGCCGATCAGCTGGCCTGCTGGATTTACCTGGAGAAAGAGTGAGACCCAGTGGCTGTTGCAGCAATGTGTCTATGTCACTTCTGACATGACCTGAAAGTGGCATCATCACGTCAGTAACATTGGGGTGATGCTCTGGTATTTGGGGAGAATCTCCATGGTAGAAGCCAAATTTACCATAAAGTTTTTGCTCAATTAGCAGTGCATCACCATAACATTGCTGAATGATGAAGTAACTTCTGAGCCACATCAGAAATGACATAGACACATCACTGCAATGTTGGCTGGGCCTCCCTCCCACTCCCAGTAAATCTTCCCCATCCCCCACTGGTTACCAGGAGGGACTCAGCAGCCACAGTTTACATGCAAGCAAAGGCAGGAAACATGAATCCCATGCACTCTGTGCATGTGTACCTGCAATAGTTCCTTTCCCAAAGCAGGAAAAATAATGTGAAAGTTTTGCAGGTGGCTCTTTAACCCATCTGAGAGTCCTGGCCCATGGACTAAAGACCAATAAACTAGCCAATAGATAATCATGTTTGATCAAGTTTCCTCTGGTTTCCTGTCTTGTTGATTTTTTGAAATGGACTTTGTAATTTATTTCAATTTTATAGGTATATAGTACCTGTTTTCAGATACCCATTAATTTTATTCATTTATTCCCCATTTCTCTCAAGGCCAAGATACTATATGTATCCCCAAATCAGCTTTTTTTTTTTGGTTGAGATACTGCTTAAGTGCGGTTCTGGTGTGTTACCTGTGATTAGTTCTTGGTCTTTTCTGGCTGGCTAATTTTTTACAACACTCATAATTGATTAATTATCAGATATTGGGGTGTCTTAAATACTGAGTTTTTAAATTCTAACTCTTGTAAGCTGCATATCTGCCCAATAGGTCATCAAAGTTTTTAACAAGTGAATTAAAATTTAAGCACTTCCTTTTAATAATTATTATAAAATCACCTAAAAACAGCATGCAAAATTAGGGATATATAGCAATTTTTAACTGTTCACCATCTTGAGGGCCCTGACTGGTTGAAAGGTGGGATACAAACATTCAAATAAATAAATAAAATAAGCATGTCCTGTTTCACTTCAGTTTGAAGGTCTTTGAGGGGCAAAAAGTATTTTATCTGAAAGGCTGATATAGACAGAACCAACCTCTTCTCTACACCACTCATAGTATTCTAAAATAATTATTTTTATCATAATACAAAATTATGGCCGTAAAAATGATATGGCTTGCTACAAAAAATCCCCAGTATTTAAATCCCCCACAAGAACTGATAATTAACCATTATGTATTTTTGTTGCTCTTTATTCCACAAGCCTGCAGTTTGCTGGCAACCTATGCATTATTTTCCTGTGGTGTATATTTGTTAATCACTAATCTCATGTACTGGATTTATGTATAGGAATTGATCTTGTACAGACAAGAGAAGTGACAAGGAAGGTTTCCATTTATGTAGAAAGCAGCTGTCTATCCCCCAAAGCATGTGAAGAAAGATGGGGGGCGGGGGGGGGGGGGGGGAGCAGCTTTTCTTGGAGAGAGACACAAACTCTACCAACCACTGTGTAGTACCTTGTGACCAGAATTAGTATGTTCATTGTTGTTACATTTTACTAATACCTTTTTGAAGATGAACATTCTTGTCCCTGCTGTGAAAATGGTACTTTTGCCGGTGTTATTATAAAATGGTCTCTGCTGGGGAGCTTTGCTAGGGACATTAAAGAACAAAGAACAGCTGCTTGACAGCCACAGAATAGTTTTGGTGTTTTTTTAAAAAAATGAATGACAGAAAAAAAAATCTGGGCAATACCGACAATTATGGTAGAATACAGATTAGTTGACATGCTTTTTTAGTAGTCTGGAACAATAAATACATGCAAAATTATAAAATAGTTCTGCTTGCACAGAGATTTGTGCAGGGCAAATAGAAAAATTTACCTCTTGTTCAGTATATAGAGACATTTAATGAACTGTTGGTTGGAGTGAAAGATGGAATTTGCTAGCAAAGGAGATAGGGTCAGGTCAAAAATGTAAGAAATAAAAACATACTCTATTCAATGTTACTTCTTCTTCTTCTTCTTCTTCTTCTTCTTCTTCTTCTTCTTCTTCTTCTTCTTCTTCTTCTTCTTCTTCTTCTTCTTCTTCTTCTTCTTCTTCTTCTTCTTTCGACCCATCCTCTGGGTGATATAAATCAAAGATTAAAAAAATAGGTAAATCATATGACGATCCAAATATGCAGTTAAACATGTAATTTAAAAATCTAAAATCCAAGATGGTGCGCTAATAAATCTTATTCCCATACTGGACTGCACTGCCGCCCCATGTGCAGGGCAGGAAGAGGAAAACAGATGAAAAAAGGAGAAGGGGGGGGGAAGGTGCCAGCAGTGATCTCACCATTACTGTCCTCAACCAAAAGCCCAGCGGAACATCTCTGTTTGATAGGCCCTGCGAAATTGCATCAAATCCCGCTGGGCCCTGATGGTGTTTGACAGAGAGTTTCACCAGGTCGGAGCCAGGACTGGGAAGACCCTGGTCCTAGTTGAGGACAGCCAGACATCTTTGGGGACAGGAATCACCAGCAAATTATTTTCCGCCAATCAAAGTACTCTCGGGGGACATACTGGAGGAGACGGTCCCAAAGGTACATGGGTCCCTGACTGCTCAAGTATTAAAAGTCAATACTAAGACCTTGAACCTGACTTGGTATCCCCCTGGGAGCCAGTGTAGCTGGCGCAGCACATGTTATATATGTGCCATCTGTTGTATTCTCACCAGGACACACACCACTGCTTTCCGGACCGGTTGGAGCTTCCGGGTCAGTCTCAAAGCAGGCCAGCATAGAGCAAGCTATAGCAGTCTATCCTGGAGGTGACTGTTGCATGGATTACTGTGGTTAGGCCAGGGCACGACAAGAAGGGGGCTATTTGCTGTGTTTGACATAGATGAAAGAATGCCAGCCTGGCAATATTCTGAATCCCCAGGGGGTATTTGAATATCTCCAATTACCTGTTTTGTTTTTCATCAAAAATTCCTGAAACAATGCAAGGCATTCCTATTCCTGAAATTTTGGGACACCCAAAATGTATCTCTTGAAAATTCAGATCCCCCCCCCCCTGGGATTTTGCAGCTGATAGGCAGTAGACCTGGCATGTGGAGTCTGGAGGCCTGGTCTACTACCACTGTCTAGACTCTATATGCAAGTTCCCCTACCACTGTCTTCAGTGAAATTCCAAGTCCAGATACCAAGTCTACTAACCACTGAAAACAGTGGAAGTAGACTTAGCCTCTGGACTTGAATGCCAAGTCTTCCACCAACTGAAATCTCCAAAAATTTGCCTGAAATGGATTGGGGAAATTATGCCATCTGATGTGAAATTCTGGGAAAACAGTAATCATGCCCTTTCTGAAATAACAAAATGGAACTAAACCATTGTTTTTAAGTGCGCACTCGTATGAGTCACAATGGGAAAAATATGTATTCTAACAAAGTTTATATCAGGAGACTCTCAGTGGCATAAGTACCTTTTCCTAGTAGTGTTGTGAGAGGACAGGGGAAATATCAAAGAACAAAGCTTTTGTGAGTCATAGTGTCTGTGGCTGGCCCATGGTCACCCAGCAAGCTTCTATGGCAGAGTGGGGATTCAAACATGGGTCTCCCAGATCCTGATTCAACACTTGAACTGCTATACTACTCTGGCTTTCATTTACAAGATTGTGGTTGACACTAGGAATAACGCCCATTTTGGAAATAAATAAAACGAGCTCTAGAAAGAGGTTCTGGGAGAGTGCCTCAGCCTTGGGCACTCAGTGTCAATTTGCTGTGGCAACCTCAGTACGTTATAATGACACAGAGTTTACCATTTTCTCCAGGGGAACTGATCTCTGCCACCTGA